GAGCACCTTCTGCTTCAAGTCCATTGATCGTAGGATAAAGTCATGTTCTGACTCACGGGGTCCTTGAGCGGCAGTTGAGAGCTCATGGAAAAGTGCCATAGCATCCTTTTCCCTGTAGTGTGCCCTTATGATCTTTCGAAGAGTGGGCAAGTCGAGGCCAGCCCTTCCTTCGAGGTAGCTCCGGATCCGTAGCCCAGGACTAATGGCACGAATCACCTGCTCCACCACCTCTTCTTCGGCATATTTCTTGCGAATCCCACTATCTATCTGGCGGGCGAGGCTGGAGAAAGACAGCTTGTCCTTCTGCTGGGGTTCTCCGATTTGTCCTACAATTCTAAACTCCTTCCGGAATGCCACGTTGGAGATGGGGATGGAAGGTGCAACGTCATCTGGCTCGGCTGCTGTCACGCTTTGGGGTACTTGAATAGCCTCCTTCACATCAGCGTCCTGTTCAACCCTTTTCCCTTGGACATTCCCAACCTTCCCAACCAGTACCTCCGTCACCTTACCCCATACTGCCTTACCTTCATCTTCCAGCTCCTCCACTTCCTCGCTGGCCAGATACCGCTGCAGCATTCGAAGAAGCCCAACACGTCCCTTCGACTTTGCCTTGCTAACGTCACCCCCTGGCCTCTCTAGAACCTCCGCAACTTTAAGGAGCTCGTCTTCCGTACCCGCGTTCAACCGGGCGAGTACATCGGCCGCCAGATCCTCGAAACCAGCCATATCTGCGGTGGGTCAAGCGTCAAAAGATTCCCTTATGCTTAGAGTCAAACGTTGCAAGTCGTAGTTCCGATTCGTTTATGGTGGATGAAGGATCCTAGAGTTAGGCTGCTGGCTGGTAGTCTTCACTCATGGATACGTCATCCGGGCAGTGCTTCCAGAAATGTAACGCCCCCTTATAGTGGTATAGGGTGCTAAAATAAAAGAACACGAGGAGAAACAATAGATGGTTGTGATGCTATAGTGTCAAGATGTAGAATATGGCACATGGGCATTACAATCACTCATTTAGTCCCTCCTCACATGGTATCCTGGACTCTTCCATTCTTTCAGCGGGGTTTGTGTGTCCTCTAAGCTGGAAAGGGGCAAATGCTTTCCACTTCGATTACATAATATACTGACTGATCGATACTGTACTTACAGTAGCTTTCTATCAGAGACATAGAGTCTCTACCCAAAGTAAAAGATACAGTATTGATATAAGTATATAAAAAAAGGGGGGTACAAATTTCTACAAATTATTCTTTTGCAGGGATCACATTGATATTATCATTATTATTATTATCATTATATTAACCTTAAGTCATCATCGAAATCATCATAACAGTTAATGTTATTATTTATATTATAATTGTTTTCATGCAATTGTTTTCTTTACAGATACTGAGGAACCAGTTATAGTTGGCTGTCCATTGTCCAAGGCCGTTCCCATGCAGCCCGGTCAGAATTTCGCTACAGTGTCTTGGACTGAACCAACAGTGTCAGATAACTCTTATAGTGTTACGTTGACATTTAATGGAGAGGGGACCAATGCAGGCGACTTTTCACTGGGAATAACCTCTCTTTCATACACAGCTGTTGATGCTGCCGGAAATAGAGCTACTTGCATGTTCGAGATAGTAGTCAGTGGTAGGTTGATCTTGTAAATGTACATGTATTTTGTTGCATGCACGCTTTCAAATATTCTGTTATCATTATTATTTTAAATATTAATACTATTATTATTGCTGCTCATAAGTATCGACTTGCATGGTAATGTAGAAGACAGCTTGGGTTGCACCATCGGGGAGAGGGGAAGGATTGGGGAGTAACCCTGAAAAGCTAGGGCTCTTTGTAATCTTTCTTTCTTGAGTGTGTGTATAGTCCTGAAAAGGACTGTTGTGCAGTCTTGAAAAGACTGTTGGTTTATAGCTTATAGTTCTAATGAGAACGCTAGCGCCGCTTGGAGAGGATGGGTAGTAGGAGTGGCTCAATGTTTCTAAGAGGTTGACTATATCCGTCGTCAGGAGTGGGGAATAGCAAAACAACAGCATCCCCTTCCTAGACGTCCGCGTTACCAAATTGCCATCCGGCAAGCCTGCTCACCAAGCTCATGCACGGATAGATATCTTCACTACAGATCCTTCCACCATCCAGCTGAACTGCAATATTAGTCCTTAACACCCTCATACGCCGAGCCCATCAACTCAACTCTAACTACCATCAACACATACCCAAGACATAAGATCAAGTCCTGCTAGGACACCAGCCAGCAAGCCCGCAACCAACACCAGCCATGAAGAGAACCAACCCGTAGCTACACCCCAGAAACAAACTGTTGTTTTACCCTGTATCGGCCAAGCCTCTAACAAGATTCAACGGATCCTTCAAGCAGCAGACATCCAAGTTCGGCACAGTTCCTCCAACAAACCCCAATCACACCCACAAAGACAAGCATGAATCCAAACCAAAAGAAAGCTGGAGTCTACAAAATACAAACGTGGAAAAGTCTACATTGTTGAAACTGGGAGAAATCTGGAAACAAGACTCAAGGAGCACAAAACCAGCTTCATACTCAGCAATTGGAATAAGTCCACCATCGTCAAACAGGCCCAAACAACATCAGTCATCTCATCTCCATAATGATCGATCGAAGCACTGGCACACACGCCGAATCCGAGAAGCCATCGAAATTCACTGCCACAACACCGTGCCCCAAGACTCGGGTTTATACATAGATAGATAGAAAGATAGATTGATAATGGTTTTATTGAGAATAAAAGAACAACAATGCATCGCGGCCTACAATGCCGAATTGGACAATGTTTTACAAATGTAAAATACAGTAAATAAAAACAGCGCCCTTGGGTAGAAGAGGGTGGGTGTTGGGATGCCAAGTTCTTCATTTCAGTCATGACAATGGAGCGGATGGCTGTCTGCATCTCATTCCAATCGGGCATTTTTGAACCCTCGTTGTTTGCCGTTTTCTTCTTTGGGTTCTCTAGTGGCGGTGCAGGTTGATCCCCAGAGGCAGAAATCTCATTAATGCCACTTGGCCTCGTCTTGGTTTTCAACTTATTTTGCCTCTCTATCTCGTGCCCTACAATAGTAGTAAGTGCTACTAAGACCTCTTCATCGGACCCTGTTTCTGTGAGGTATGGCTTCAATTCATGACGGATGGTGTCATTTTGAAGGCCTGTGGATACGGCATGAAGGAACATCGTCTGCACTTGATTATCATTGTATCTCACGCCAGACCCAGCTTCCTGACAGGCAAAGAGCACCTTCTGCTTCAAGTCCATTGATCGTAGGATAAAGTCATGTTCTGACTAACGGGGTCCTTGAGCGGCAGTTGAGAGCTCATGGAAAAGTGCCGTAGCATCCTTTTCCCTGTAGTGTGCCCTTATGATCTTTCGAAGAGTGGGCAAGTCGAGGCCAGCCCTTCCTTCGAGGTAGCTCCGGATCCGTAGCCCAGGACTAATGGCACGAATCACCTGCTCCACCACCTCTTCTTCGGCATATTTCTTGCGAATCCCACTATCTATCTGGCGGGCGAGGCTGGAGAAAGACAGCTTGTCCTTCTGCTGGGGTTCTCCGATTTGTCCTACAATTCTAAACTCCTTCCGGAATGCCACGTTGGAGATGGGATGGAAGGTGCAACGTCATCTGGCTCGGCTGCTGTCACGCTTTGGGGTACTTGAATAGCCTCCTTCACATCAGCGTCCTGTTCAACCCTTTTCCCTTGGACATTCCCAACCTTCCCAACCAGTACCTCCGTCACCTTACCCCATACTGCCTTACCTTCATCTTCCAGCTCCTCCACTTCCTCGCTGGCCAGATACCGCTGCAGCATTCGAAGAAGCCCAACACGTCCCTTCGACTTTGCCTTGCTAACGTCACCCCCTGGCCTCTCTAGAACCTCCGCAACTTTAAGGAGCTCGTCTTCCGTACCCGCGTTCAACCGGGCGAGTACATCGGCCGCCAGATCCTCCAAACCAGCCATGTCTGCGGTGGGTCAAGCGTCAAAAGATTCCCTTATGCTTAGAGTCAAACGTTGCAAGTCGTAGTTCCGATTCGTTTATGGTGGATGAAGGATCCTAGAGTTAGGCTGCTGGCTGGTAGTCTTCACTCATGGATACGTCATCCGGGCAGTGCCTCCAGAAATGTAACGCCCCCTTATAGTGGTATAGGGTGCTAAAATAAAAGAACACGAGGAAAACAATAGATGGTTGTGATGCTATAGTGTCAAGATGTGGAATATGGCACATGGGCATTACAATCACTCATTTAGTCCCTCCTCACATGGTATCCTGGACTCTTCCATTCTTTCAGCGGGGTTTGTGTGTCCTCTAAGCTGGAAAGGGGGCAAATGCTTTCCCACTTCGATTACATAATATACTGACTGATCGATACTGTACTTACAGTAGCTTTCTATCAGAGACATAGAGTCTCTACCCAAAGTAAAAGATACAGTATTGATATAAGTATATAAAAAAGGGGGGTACAAATTTCTACAAAATTATTCTTTTGCAGGGATCACATTGATATTATCATTATTATTATTATCATTATATTAACCTTAAGTCATCATCATAATCATCATAACAGTTAATGTTATTATTTATATTATAATTGTTTTTATGCAATTGTTTTCTTTACAGATACTGAGGAACCAGTTATAGTTGGCTGTCCATTGTCCAAGTCCGTTCCCATGCAGCCCGGTCAGAATTTCGCTACAGTGTCTTGGACTGAACCAACAGTGTCAGATAACTCTTATAGTGTTACGTTGACATTTAATGGAGAGGGGACCAATGCAGGCGACTTTTCACTGGGAATAACCTCTCTTTCATACACAGCTGTTGATGCTGCCGGAAATAGAGCTACTTGCATGTTCGAGATAGTAGTCAGTGGTAGGTTGATCTTGTAAATGTACATGTATTTTGTTGCATGCACGCTTTCAAATATTCTGTTATCATTATTATTTTAAATATTAATACTATTATTATTGCTGCTCATAAGTATGGACTTGCATGGTAATGTAGAAAGACAGGCTTGGGGTTGCACCATCGGGGAGAGGGGAAGGATTGGGGAGTAACCCTGAAAAGCTAGGGCTCTTTGTAATCTTTCTTTCTTGAGTGTGTGTATAGTCCTGAAAAGGACTGTTGGTGCAGTCTTGAAAAGACTGTTGGTTTATAGCTTATAGTTCTAATGAGAACGCTAGCGCCGCTTGGAGAGGATGGGTAGTAGGAGTGGCTCAATGTTTCTAAGAGGTTGACTATCCGTCGTCAGGAGTGGGGAATAGCAAAACAACAGCATCCCCTTCCTAGACGTCCGCGTTACCAAATTGCCATCCGGCAAGCCTGCTCACCAAGCTCATGCACGGATAGATATCTTCACTACAGATCCTTCCACCATCCAGCTGAACTGCAATATTAGTCCTTAACACCCTCATACGCCGAGCCCATCAACTCAACTCTAACTACCATCAACACATACCCAAGACATAAGATCAAGTCCTGCTAGGACACCAGCCAGCAAGCCCGCAACCAACACCAGCCATGAAGAGAACCAACCCGTAGCTACACCCCAGAAACAAACTGTTGTTTTACCCTGTATCGGCCAAGCCTCTAACAAGATTCAACGGATCCTTCACGCAGCAGACATCCAAGTTCGGCACAGCTAGTTCCTCCAACAAACCCCAATCACACCCACAAAGACAAGCATGAATCCAAACCAAAAGAAAGCTGGAGTCTACAAAATACAAACGTGGAAAGTCTACATTGTTGAAACTGGGAGAAATCTGGAAACAAGACTCAAGGAGCACAAAACCAGCTTCATACTCAGCAATTGGAATAAGTCCACCATCGTCAAACAGGCCCAAACAACATCAGTCATCTCATCTCCATAATGATCGATCGAAGCACTGGCACACACGCCGAATCCGAGAAGCCATCGAAATTCACTGCCACAACACCGTGCCCCAAGACTCGGGTTTATACATAGATAGATAGAAAGATAGATTGATAATGGTTTTATTGAGAATAAAAGAACAACAATGCATCGCGGCCTACAAGGCCGAATTGGGCAATGTTTTACAAATGTAAAATACAGTAAATAAAAACATTTGTATTAAATAACCTCAAATTAATGAACTGGAGTTGAATGAGTAGATTGTTTAAAAAAAAATTAACTTTAAAATGCTTATTTCTTATTATTTAATCTCCCTAAGTCATTTTATATAAAAAGAAGATAAAGAGAAGTGAAGAAGAACATGAAGGTGGTGTAGAGTAAAGAAAGCAAAGAAAAGAGGATGGTAAGATTAAGAAGAGAATGAAGAGGAAGGAGAAGAGAAGGAGGAAGAAGAAGAAGAAGATTCAAGTAAGGATAGTAACATGATAGACAGAGGGTAGTGCGAATAGTAACACTATCATAATGTATCGATATCAATATTCAAGCATTACACATTATACAAACTACTAATGATATAGGCGACGTTATGAAGAAAATCTATACTTATATGAACAATTGTATGAATTAAAAAAAATTACTCTAGCTAGGTTATAACATTTCAACCAGACTATAACAAAAGAGAACCATTAGAAGAAGCAAAAGCAAAAGGAGAGAGAGGGAGAAGAGGATTGAGAAGGAAGGATAAGGGCGAGATGAAGAAAGGAGGTGGGAAAGTAGAAGTGGTAGCGGAAGAGGAGACAACTGCAACATTGGCCACGGAAGATAATTTGAGTCATTTAAACAATTACAAATAAATGGTTAAACACAGATTTTTAACTTCGGTACAGAAAATGTAGTGATTCTATTATACAGATACAAAGATTAGACCCCAGTATAAATATAAAATTGGTATATGAATATAAATATATTAAAACAAATTACATCAACAACATCTGGAAACCACTCATCAACAAGTGAACGGACACGCCTCCACCACCACCACCAGCGCCTACACCCCAGCCACAGACACCCGTACACCAACCACCACCACCCGCCGAATCCACAAAGCAGCCACCAGCCTCACAGAAACAATGCACAGCAGAACTACAACGCCGCCTACATCGGGTACACACACAGCGTCTCGACGACACCACAACGCCATCTAATGCCTAGGTCACATATAAACCGGGCCCCGTACGATTTTCCATACCCGGCGGCTTGCCGTGGATTTAGAGACCGTACGGGAACCTTCCGATTTTCTTTTCTACGGCATGTGTGGTCACATATTCTGCGGCGCCCGGGAGGTGCCCGGTGAAAATTGGTCGAGTGAAATGCAAGGCGCCCGTAAGGATGCCGGCCGGTAAGCTACGTGCTCCGTCCGATGAGCAGGTGCACCCGTGGCTCCCGGAAGGTGCCCTGCCGGGACCCGGCCGGGGTCCTCAAGGTGCCCTGCCGGGGACCGGCCGGGGTCCTTAAGGCGCCCGGCCGGGTCCCGTGCGGTGCACTGAACTATGTGTCCTCTGAAATCCGCACCTCAAGGTTCCCGTAAAGATTTTTCATGAGAATTGACCCCCCAAAATCGTGAGGGGCCCGTCCGGACACCGTCCGGAGCCCGCACGGGACCCGTAAGGTGCCCTGCGGGCACTTCACGGGCTCTCTACGACCTAACGGTCGGATAAAAACGCCGGGAGAATTGGGAGCAGCCGACTCAGCACCACGGCGCCCGTACGGCTTCAAAAACTGTCCCGGCGCCCGTAGGATCTTTACGGTAGCCGGCCGGATAGATTCGGAGTGCCCCCAAGTCCACAACCCGGAGACTCGATCCAGCCTAGACGGACAAGCAGCTCACCCAAGTCCACACGTACCCGGTGACTCAAGTCCACACGGTCATGTATAGTACCCCCACGTCTGCAACCCGGTGACTTAAGCTCACGCACGCCAGCTATTCCCACTCCTGACAACGGATAGTCAACCTGTTCGAAACGTCGAGCCACTATAGCTCCTACCACATATCCTCTAGAACCGGCGCCATAGTTCTCCTTAGAACTAATTAAGCTATAAGAAAGATAACCAACAGTCCATTTCTCTGATGATTCTTTGAAAAATTATTATAATATTATATCATTTTAATCTTTACAGACACCGAAGAGCCTGTGATAGACCAGTGTCCATCCACACAGTCTGTGAGCACAGAACTTAACCAGGACTTTGCAATGGTTTCCTGGGTAGAACCCCGTGTGACAGATAACTCTAATGACTTTACACAGACATTCAATGGAGAGGGAACCAATCCAGGCAACTTTCCAATTGGAATCACCTCTCTGTCTTACACAGCAGTTGATGCTCAAGGCAATACAGCCACATGCATGTTTGCCATAGTTGTCAGTGGTAAGTATTTGTAATAATATATAGTCTTCATTTTATCGCGGTAGCCTCGATCATCAGTATGTTTCCTGGGGTCCCTGCAATTATTGTTACCCCAGCATTGCCAGGTACCTATTTATTTCACGTGGGCCAAATGGGACATACATGTATGTGAGTTTACCTTATTGAAGGATAAAATATGGTATTGTTTATCAGTCATGCGTCGCAACGTAATGTTCAATTGTGCATAATCTACAGGAAAAATGATAACTATAACGAGAGTCATAATTATACCTTCAATGATTGAAAATAACATTAGTATAATGTGGAAACAAAAGAACGTACTGCAAAGGGTACAGTGCTAGTATTATGGTGGGGGTAATTATGAAGAAGAAAAAGTAATACTTTGATGTATAGCTCATTGAGGTATTTGTTTTAAAAATAATGATAGAAAATGGTACAAGCTAAAGATGAGATAATGCATAATTATCTACAAAAATATGAGATTCAGGATACAAGCACTGCATGAGGAAGGATTGTACCTGAGAACGTACGTATACTAAAGTGTTCCCATTAAAGCCCCTCATGACGAAAACTCGTTGTTTAAAATTGAAACCCCCATTTGACTTTCACTACTCCTAAAAGTATGTTTACACTATTACGTAAGATGATGAAGAGTACAGATGCGAAGAGCTGCAAGGCTCTGTCAAAGTTTTAACGAGAGAAACAAAAGTGGGGTCGTGATACCCCGCCTGATTTAAATTGGTTCCTGTGTTATAGTAGTACGAGAGCCTTTCGTAATGCTATCAGGGATATGCAAGACCTCACAAACTTCTCTGAAAACTTATCTGTAACCGTTTCACACGTTTCTTTTGTAAATCAAGGGCTCATAATAGCCAGTACACGTCAGTAAGATATGACATATTCAAGGACACAAGATTGTGTAGAAATAAAACACCCCGAGAAAGATCTGGAAATTTAATTACCACATAACCGAGGACCTACTTTCTCCATGCAAATAGAGCACCTAAATAAACGTCCCCCTATATGAAATTTTTAACAATTTCACATGGTTCTCGAACCAAGGACGTCCTCGTTTTGCGAGTGGTCCCTAAAATGAAGATACAGATCTTATGAGACCACAAACGCCTGCAACTCACCAGTAACCCTGACACAATTGAATGTAGACTGCAACCTCGCATGACGGTTTATTAACATACCACGTAAAATGAATCCTAATGATAATTTATTAACATACCATTTTTTAGAGCTTATTCCCTAAAAACAAATTAAATAAATAAAACTAAATTAAATTAAACAAAAGAAAATTGTGACATATATTGAAAAAAATATTGTGTTCCTTATGTTTGCAGACCATGAAGCCCCGATTATCACTGACTGCCCGAGCTCTCAGACTTTAACGACAGAGCTCGGATCAGAAACGGCCACGGCGATTTGGGCGGAGCCCACTGCATCCGATAATTCCAACAGTATGACCCTGACCCCGAGTCGTAGCGGAGATGTGTTTCCCGTCGGTCAGAACATAGTCACTTACGCGGCTCAAGACCCGAGTGGGAACACGGCAACATGCACCTTTGTTATATCAGTCATGGGTAAGTGGTTTAGTTCTAACACGATAGCACAGACTTATCAATGAAATCAACTTGAGGCCTCTAGCGCATTCTAAGGAGGCACAATTTGTCCCTCCTGAAAGATTTCCGAACAAGAAAAGAAACTACTCTCACTATTACATAACATAATTATAGTCTCCAAACCCGTGGAATTTATATACAGTGCGTCCCAGAAAAAACGAAACCGAGAAGTATCGATGGTTTATCATAACTTAATCACAACCATAATTAATGAATGATACATATTTGGAAAGCTTAGAGTCTCCTCTTTCAGTTGATGCTACTCAGATGATGCATATTTTACGCATGAGTGATTAAAAGCAATATGAAGGAAGGAAACCAAAAAGACATTTGGCGGGCGGTATCTGAATTTCGAAGAAAAATTCACATTTCTAGGAAGTTGAGTTTCTGCCCTTTCATATGACACCTCAATCAGGAAAAATGAGCGAGGAATAACAAAGTTCTGTTTGCTTAAAGTAGCCCTTACATTTTCAGAATTTTAACAAACGAATTCGTTTTCACTGGGTGCCTGCCGTAGCAAAAAGCAGATTTGACAAAAGACTTAACTCCGTTTCGTTGACAATCAACCATGCATGAAAACTCTCGTCTACGGCTGATTGTCAACGAAACGGAGTTAAGTCTTTTGTTAATTTCGTTTATTGATACGGCAGGCAGCCAGTGAAAACGAATTCGTTTAATAAAATTATGGAAATGCAAGCACTACTTTAAACAAACAGAACTTTGTCATTCCTCGCTCATTTTTCCTGATTGAGGTGTCATATGAAAGGGCAGAAACTCAACTTTCTAGAAATGTGAATTTTTCTTCGAAATTCAGATACCGCCCGCCAAATGTCTTTTTGGTTTCCTTCCTTCAAATTGCTTTTAATCACACATGCGTGAAATATGCATCATCTGAGTAGCATCACATGAAAGAGGAGACTCTAAGCTTTCCAAATATGTATCATTCATTAATTATAGTTGTGATTAAGTTATGATAAAACATCGATACTTCTCGGTTTCGTTTTTTCTCGGACGCACTGTATATTCTCAAAAGACTCCCTTATATTGACTTCTAGAAAATACACTACTATGAGAGATACTTTAATTTTATTCCGATATGATTTAATTTGCATTTTTGATAATTAATCAGAAATACGCGTTTTATGTTTTAAACTGAGAATTTCTTATCATCTATGCATGTTTCCTTTCTATGGAAGCACCAGAAAAGAGGAGTTCCTTCAAACATGCTTATATAGAAAGAAAGAAATTGACTCTGGTGGGCTCAGAGTTGTAGTAGTAGCAATGATATTTTTATGCGTGGCACATAATGAGCTGGTCTGCGTACTCTTTATTCATGCATGCTGCACTTATTTTTAAAGAAAAAATGAATACATTTTTCTGTGACCTAACATTCTCTTTGACATAGCTCCTCTGGGATGCTCCACTAGCCAGCTTATATCCTGCCGGGACACAGAAACGTGTGTGGAGAATGAATGCCGGTGCAGGCCTGCCTTCATCCGACTGAATGATGTTTGCACAGGTATTTATTGTGTTCGTGTTTTATAAAAAGAAATTTTTGATATTTCATATTTATTTTGACATTTCGTAGAGCTGTTGTGGTCTAGTTGATAAGTCACAGAGCATGTGGATTGCAAGGTACGGAGTTCAAATCCCAGGCTGGCACTGATGTCCTTTAGTAGGATGTCAATTTTGCCACTCTCCGTTTAAGTGTAAAAGGGTACCTGATATGCTTCTTTGCTAGTAACTTTGGCGGCTTGGCAATGACCGTGGTAATAATGTCTAAAAGTCATGAGCGTCAAATCATGACAGATAATAGTGCGATTTAACAAATATATATATACATATATATATATATATATGGATTGAGTGGGGTATTATATATATGGTAGGTGGGTATATGAAAGCCTGAATATATACTGTGTTGAATTCTAAAATTTGAAGATCACTCATACATGAGAGGCAAAACATTCCGACTTGAACATATGATTATATTTCTTGCAATAGCACAATTTATAAGAATTTAATATTCGATCTTTGATTGCGAAATTAAAATTCATCAATTTACATTTATAACTGTCTGCTGAATATGACCTAATACACTATATTTGATATACACTCTATTCATATTATAAAAAACTGACATTTGCTTAACATTGTAGTTAGTTCATTTGAACAATTTTGTAACTCATATACATGTTATTGTGTTGCCCTCTTGAACCTGAAAAGAACAAGCCTAGCTTTTGCAAAGGTTCCTTCATAATCCTCATTTCCGCTCTATACCCTGTGAGTCAAAAAAAAGTTTACACCTAATTATTTTAAAAATCATCTATGAACAGTAAATTGTTATACATCTTATGAAAGAGTGTTTTATCCCAAATCATTTGGTACCATTTTTGTGTGGTATGTGTTCACGCTTGAATGAACAGGAGGCATTGTTTGCGAGAGTGCACAAATCGTTTACTACCATGGCAATATCATTGAACAGCCAATCCAATCAATGTTTCTATTGAAGTTTATATTAATGGGTAAAGTTACCATCAATGGCAAGTTTTATACAACGTGACCCAGATCAGTAACCCGACACATGCTCCGGCGACAAATGCTCTGGTGACAAATACTCTGCAAAAAGCGACAAATGCTCGGCTACATTTGCTCCGCGACATTGGCTTTGACGTCAAATGCTCCACCGACAATCGCTTTGTCGACAGTTGCTCCGACGACAATTGCTCCGCCACTATTTGCTCCTACGACTCTAATTAACAAGCATTTATGCTTTCTTAGCAGTCAGGTAAAATAACCACCACTTCTACTACTTCTACAATTTCTCCGCATGAAGAGATAAATACACCGGTGACAAATGCTCCTCAAACGACACTTACTCTGCCGACATTTGCTCCGCCCCGTGAAATACAAATGCTACTACGACAATTGCTCCTCTGCAAAAGTACAACGTTAAAGACAATAAAATCGCTCTCTGATCCAAAAGTTCATTTGTCTTCCACGGGACAATTTTTTTTTTTGAGGACCAAATGTCGTCGGAGCAATTGTTAGAGGAGCAACTGTCTGAGCTAGGAGCAAGTGTTGTTTGGGGAGCATTTGTAACCAGAGCATTTATCGCCTCGTGCATAGCAATTGTCGGCGGAGAAATTTTCGGTGGAGCAATCGCCGGCAGAGCAAGTGTCGTAGAAGCAAATATCGGCGGAGTAATTGTCGTCGGAGCAACTGTCGGTGGAGTAACTGTCGGAGGAGCATTTGACAACGGAGCATATGACGCCAAGCAAATGTCACGGAGCAATTATTGTCATGTTTTGCAGAGTAAATGTCGGCGGAGCATGTGTCATGGATTCAACCAGATCATAAAATCAGAAATAGGAATAATGAACTAGAGTAGACGAAAAAACTTAATTTGTTACTTCCTAGAAATCGATCAACTTAAGGGCCATTTCAACACCTATCATATTGACTGCCTTCATGTTCAGATTGTGTGATATGCCATTGCACTGTTTCAAATGATGAGGAAAAAGATTAAAAAGGTTGACTTATAGTTTGATATTTTGTGCGATCGTTTTTAATCGTGATTTTTCTTTTTTTATTTTTTATTTGTTTGTTTTATATTGACAGAGGCAAACAAATTCAGCATTTCAGTGCGAGCCCTAACGCTCAACGGTATTGATTACGAATACACTGATGCCCTGAGTGACCCAAATTCTCCAGAATTCCAAGCAAAGGCTAACGATTTCATTATCGTGGTAGGTCTGAATTCTGATCCGTGTACCGATCTGTCTCTCTCTCTCTCTTTCTCTCTCTCTTTCTCATCCATTCTCCTGCTTTGAGGCTTGTTCAGACATGATGACGTAAAGTATAATACGCTTGACTTTTCTGTATCTCTGTAAAACAGCTTTCATTTACAGGTAAAATAAATGCAATGGTTTTCGCAGTGTTTACTTCGCCATTTCTGAACAAGCCTTTGCGCTAATCACTAAAATTCAAAGAGGGCCGGGATGACAATGTTTTCAAAAAGGTAGATTCAACCCTTTTTTATGCTGGATGCAGCTTCTATAGTGTTTCAACATTAAAGGTCACTCCCCAGCCCTTTCTAAGTATGATTTAACATTTTATTCTTTAGAATGTATGCATGATAGTTCCCATGTCGTCAGCGCTACCCGAATGCCAAGATCTGCTACCGCAAAACCTTATCGAAGATTCATCAATCACACTTTCCTATTTGCGTGCTTATACAGATGATGCAAAACACTGATACGATTTATGGAGTTACGGTTATTGAAATTCAGAGAGGGAGTCTGATATTCGTAGCTGAAGCCATCACCGAACCGTCTACAACGATGGCCCAACTTGAACAAGATATAGATAGTGCTATTCAAGAGGGTCGGCTACCGCAGGACCAACGACCATATTCTTTGCTCCCGACGACACTGTCATCGCGGGTAAGCATTTACAGCAGACTTTGGTAGCCTATATTAAAAGTCCAGATCAATGTGACCTTGATATCTATTTCATCAAAAGAAGTAATTTGTTTTTTGTCCCTATTCATAATTGTTTTTCCACAGATGTCTGGCCACCAGGGTTTTTAAAAAGTGCTGTCATATATCATTTTACCAAGTTTTGGCTGATGCACCAAATGTGGTCAGCTATGCACATGTTACTTTTGTCTTCCAATCCTTTTAAAAGAATTTTACTTTAAAGAGTTTTACTTGCATATCTCATTGATCCAGGAATTGCAAGAATAAGATGGCCATGATGATAACTACCAAAGATAAAGACAGTTGATTTTCATAAAAAGAGATAGCATATTCCCAAGGTCGTTTCATCGTAAGAAATATAATATCATAAGTTTTGCTTGGAAATAGGTCCGTTCTTGACTCTGAGTTTACATTATTACCTATTCTATTCCAAGGCTCAAAATCAATGGGAAGAACACGATTGTTTTCCAAATGAAATAACTATGTGTGAGGGCTTTTGATCCACTTTCATTGCTTTAGCTCAAATTGGTACAAGAGGAATTTTGACAAGTTTTTATGAAAACGCTGCTGCTCAGTCATCAGCAGAGTCATAAATATATAAGATATCCTTAGAAAGAATATTAGCTAATATTTATAACTCAAGATCACACAGACTATGACTTTAAAAATGGGAATATATAACGGTTTATCATATTTTTGTATTCACATTGTAAATGTCTGTACTATAATTGTTATTATTATTGGCAATAGGGGTGTAAGAAAAATGCTGCTTAATTGCGACAGTTGGCCCACCGTGTAGCTGCACTAACGGACTCCCTAAATTCAACCTTTGACCCGACATTAACTAAACCTAAGCATAGCCCTATACCTAACCTAAAACCCAATTGAAACCCAAACCTATACTTTTGATGAAAGAAATTAAGCCTGTAGCAATTGTCGCCGGACAAAGTGTCGGATGACCTGCAAATAGAGGTGCCGTGGCCGAGTGGTAGAAACGTTTGACTGGAGATGCGAAGGTTGTGCGTTCGATCCCCGGCACGGCACTCTAGTCTTTAAGTAGGCAAGGCATTTTCTTAACTCCATCCATTTAAAAAAAAAACACATTTGTAGCCGGTAAGCGATAGGATGCTAAAGTCTTTGCAGTTGACTAGTTATCTCTAATAAGGGGCCTGAATATTCATTGAAAATTCCCCAGGGAGTGGAGAACGTATATATGTGGGCATCCGATGGCTTGGGTATGGATTCCTCTAAAAAGCAGTTATAGAAACCAAACGCTTAATAAGTCGACACCACTGTTATCTTTTTGTCCTCATGTTTCATGCTATTTTACACCAATGTGGCGTAAAAAGCTTTTTCTTTATACGTATTCGTTATTGTTGTTGGAAAATAAATGAATTTCAACTTGAACGTCAATAATTTATTCCTGTTCTTCTTTAGACATCAATGAATGTGCAAGTACGACTACCAATGACTGCTCGGAGAATGCCAATTGTACCAACATGGTTGGGTCCTACACCTGCACCTGTCATTTTGGCTACACGGATAGATCACCTGCAGGGGTTGGCCCCGCGAGAGTATGCGGTAAGATTACCTACGCTCTAAAAACTCAAAAGTTAATTACTTCAACATTTCAAAGTGCCGGCCCCTCCCTCCCCCCCCCCCCCTTTCCTCCACTCTGGGATCTGGGACCGCATTTGTGTTCCCAAATTTCCGGTAAAGGGGTGATTTTCATGCAACGAAATCTGGCCCATATTGACTTATACTTACCGGGGGGGGGGGGCAGTTGCCTCCAAAATAAAATTCAAATGTTTATTTCTATACCAGTGATTTACAGATATTGCTGAAATGACATGATTTTCCGGGTTTTTTTCCTTAAAAAACTTTAAATATACTCCTTTTTATGCGTTTTGTTGGGAAAATTAAAAATTCCCAGTCAAGCAAAATAAATGCTTATTTAGAAGCCTTCATGTCAGGGCCTCCAGAACGGCGAGGCTCTGGGGCTTGAGCCCCCCCCCCCCCTCACTATTTTTAAAAAGTATGTTACAGAGAAAAAGAAAGAAAAAGAGAAAGAAAGAATGAGTGACCTGCCAGTATCACAAATTAGGTATCAAAATATGCTCATCTGCATGACCGTAATTAAATGCTTAAAACCCCTGAGCTTCCGGGGGCTCCGCCCTCTAGACTACACCATGGGTCCAAAGGCGGGGCGGGCCCCCCGGATGCTCGTCTCAGTGACTGCAATTAAATACCTAAAACCTCCGAGCTTCCAAGGGCTTTGCCCCCCTGGACCCCATCTAGGGCCCTAAGGAGGGCCCCTGGATGCTCATCTGACCGTAATTAAATGCCTAAAACCCCTGAGCTTCTGGGGGCTCGATCCCTTGACCCCCGCCGGGGCAAAGCCCATGGACCCCAATCAAATTTACACTACGCTCTGCCTAATCGTTAATACTCGACTTTGAAAAATGTTGCGCCGAGCCTGCATGTAACATGCAAGAGTGATGGTGATGCAGATTTTTTCTCCCCCCCCCCCCGGCCCCATCACGCTCATTACGCCACTACATTACTACTCATTACGAAGGAGCCCCTGGAATGTTTGCCCCTCCCCCCCCCCCCCATCCCAAACTGCTTCCTGCATGCCTGCTGAGTAGGAGGGGGGGGGGAGGGGGCGGGATCATAGTGGAATGTTTAGAATAGTAGATTAGCACTTTTAACATGCAGGATCTAACAGTACAAGAGCTAAACCAAGCCTATTGAAAGGCATTGTTTAACAATGTTTCCAGTTTTACAAATCTGAGATGCATGGCCCTACGTGTTATCAGTGTCTGCATGTGATGGTGTAATATTGAAACCCTAAAAAAATGCGCTTCAAAATGATCATGAAGTGCCTAAAAAAGGTAAAAATCTTTGAGTGACCGGTTTTTACCAGACTCATTTTCCCCAATAGACTTTAGTGTTAAAAAAAACGTTGGGAAAACGGTTTTTGAAATTTCTAATTCCAATCATAAATATCTTGATAATCAGACAGGCGATCGGCTTGTAGCCTGAGCATCACCTTATGATATGTGGGAACATTTTGATGCCATATTCCGTAATCCGAATGAGGTTTCTGTGAAAATCGGCCGATTTTATTCAAGAAACATTGTTTTATAGCTTAATTAATATCTTGACCTTGAGAGGGAGCTGTACAACATAAAGAGTTTATTATTCACAGTTTCATAACTTAAAGATGTCCCTTTTGCAGCCAACCTCAAATTCTGTAGAACTTTGAAGGAATTATGAATATGTCATGTATGTCCTATCTGTGAAATTTAAACGTTAGCAGTGTCCTCATAATCAAATTATGCAAGGAAACCCGTTTACTTGCTAGATTTCACTGTCAGACACTATTGAGTGACTGACTGGCTTTTTTTCTTCTTTGGAAATAACATACATGAAAAGAGTTGTAAAGAGTACATGAGCATTTGTCTACATCAATAACCCACTTCTTGTGATGGCCAAGATTAAACTGATTGAATATAATTGAATGTACAGCATACCATTTATCACGATGAAATACATGTAAAACTTGACGTGAAGATATACAAATACAATGTACTGATGCGTTGAAGTCTAGAGAAAGTCTGATGTCTGAGAGTTTACTCTCTCAAGGATCGAAGTTTCTTCCTGTCTCAAATGTTCTCTCTGATAATGGTCCGAAGTATTCTGACGGGAGTCCAAAACGAACCCTCTTTCACAATGGGTAAACCCTCTATTGGGTGGGGATAACCATAGCCATTGAGCAAATAATTATTATCTAAAATAGGCCATAAATTGTACTCAGTAATGAAAGAGGAGTACGTCTATTATCTGGAAGGAGTGTATTGTGACCAGTGCTTCATGAGCTTACTTGAAAGTGTACTGTTTGCAAACATTTTAACTTCTTGTTTACTTCGTGTAGATGTATTGATAGATTATTGATAAGCTTTTGATGAATATAGATTTTAGTCTATTGCTCACAAAGCACTTGTGCCCCTATTATATTACATTCAAAAGATAATATTTCCCAATACCGGTAATTTTATTCACAGAGCTGACTTCACTGGGCAGTTTCTTGGGTGTTGGTGGCATAACTGGGGTGGCTGTAGGAGCGTCTGTTCTCGTGGCTATACTGTTTTTGTGCTGTATAATTGCTGCGAGGAGAATGACCCACAACAATTTCGTAAGTAATCACAATTAATGAATTCTGCGCAGTTTGCTTCAGAAACAAAAAAAATGTAACCAATATTTTTATGTTTAGGGGGTTTTTAATAAGCCATAAAATTGGTCTCAATATCGAAATCAATTTAAGCTGATGAAACACACCCTGATCATTTTTTCTATATTTACGTGAGATATCGACTCACTTTAATTACTTCTCATGATAATCGTTATATCCTATGGCTTTTTATAATGAATGGATATGAATGATTGTAAATGGGTTAATGTCAAAAGTTGTTCATGCACAAAAATATAAGCACGTTTGAGAGCGATGCTGAGAATACAACAAGAAGAAAGTCTTGTCCCCTATATGTTTCATCTTCGTGCCCCCCAAAATGCCCGGGCAACAATTACACTGATGTCTATTTCCTACACTACGGTAACTAAAAACCGAACTTTAATTCCTGCATGGACGGAGCACTATATTTCTTGGAGACTGGGGCATCCCCTGCGATGCACATTAAAAAAAATGAGATTTGTAGCTTTTATCATTATGATTGTTGTTATTTATATTGTTATTATTAATATAACTTTTGTTTTAGTATATCATTGCTATTCTTATTCTTTTTGTTGTTTTTGTTATTACTATTTCGACTACTATTTACTACTGCTGCTGCAGCTACTTCGATTACACAAATTAGGGACTTTTAGATTGAGTGGACGAGAACGGCGTGAACGTCCACTGATCATGCTTGTCTATGACAAGCCGTTTTTAACATTTATTACTATTTCTTGATACCAAGAATTATCATTGCTTTACAACAGAAAATCATTTCTTGATATCAAGTATTCAATTCTTGATGTCAAGAAATACCATTGCTTTACAACAGAAAATCATTTCTTGATATCAAGAAATAGGAATAAATGTTAAAATGGCTTGCCATAGACACGCATGATCAGTGGCCGTTCACGCCATTCTCGTCCACTCAATCTAAAAGTCCCTAATATTATTACTGTTGGTAGTAGAAAGTAGTAGTATAGTAGTAGGATCAGTAGTAGTAGTCATAATAGTAGTAGTAGTAGTAGTAGTAGTAATATTAGTAGCAGCAGTAGTACAAGTAGTTGTAGAAGTAGATGTATAGTAGTATTAATAATATCAACATCATGGCCATAACAATGAGTTATTATTATTATTTCTCACAATTTGTAGGCACAGAGGAAAAGGGACCCCCAGACTAATGTGCATCTATCCTCTAGAAGAGCGGGAGACCAGAGGGCACGACGTCAAGGTCCAGGGCGCCCGGGGGATGTCTTCTGGCATGACGACAATCTTTACCGTGGCTATGTGGGCGGGACTCGCGGGAATACTCTCACGACGGAATTTATGGGATATTAAAGTGCACCAATCACTGAAAGATATGTTGTTCTGTATCTTGTAGTTCCATCTCATGATACTACATGTGTAGGCCTATACATACAAATATATTCTCAACTAACTCAATAATAATAATAATAATACACAACATTTATTAGGCGCTTGATACTGGTGTTTCTAAGCGCACCATTGTCTGATTAAAAATTACCAACTAAAACTTATAATAAACACACAAATTATAAATCTGTTCTTTATTCAATAAATCATGCATATATGATAATAAAAACAAAACGAGATCAAACATAAGGTCAAACATAAGACCAAAGAAACAATTAAGGAATAAGATGGTTTGCAGTGCACCTCCTTTGACCGACTCACAACTGCACCCGTGTAGAATATCATTCATGAATTTTAAAAGTGCCTTTTTAGCAAGTGAGGTAAAAGCAACTTGTGATGGGACTAATCAATTAATGCAAAAAATAGGGCTCGTACGTAACCCAAGTCCAACTTCGGCTCTGTGCGCGCGATGTTACGTAATCGTTTTTTGGGGTTTATTTCCAGCTGTTCATAGATTACTTTTTTGGGTGATTGGTCCACTTTAAGGTTAAAAGCCCAAATCCGTCTTGGGCTCTATGCGCGCGATGTTACGTAATTGTTTTTTGAGGTTTATTTACAGCTGTTCATAGATTACTTTTTTTGGGTAATTGGTCCACTTTAAGGTTAAAAGCCCAAGTCCAACTTGGGCTCTGTGCGCGATGTTACGTAATTGTTTTTTTAGGTTTATTTCCAGCTGTTACTTTTTTGGGGTGATTGGTACACTTTAAGGTTATAAGCCTCAATTTTTTAGGTTTATTTCCAGCTGTTCATAGATTACTTTTTTGGGTGATTGCACTTTAAGGTTATAAGCCCAAGTCCGACTTGGGCTCGGAGCGCGATGTTACGTAATTGTTTTTTGAGGTTTATTTCCAGCTGTTCATAGATTACTGTTTTGGGTGATTGGTACATTTCAAGGTTATTATAAGCCTTAATTTTTTGGGTTTATTTTCAGCTGTTCATAGATTAATTTGTTGGATGATTGGTACACTTTAAGGTTATAAGCCCAAGTCCGACTTAATTGGGCTCGATGCGCGCGATGTTACGTAATTGTTTTTTGAGGTTTATTTCCAGCTGTTCATAGATACTTTTTGGGGTGATTGGTACACTTTAAGGTTATAAGCCCAAGTCCGACTTAATTGGGCTCGATGCGCGCGATGTTACGTAATTGTTTTTTGAGGTTTATTTCCAGCTGTTCATAGATACTTTTTTGGGTGATTGGTACACTTTAATGTTATAAGCCCAAGTCCGCCTTGGGCTCTGTGCGCGATGTTACGTAATTGTTTTTTGAGGTTTATTTCCAGCTGTTCTTAGATTACTGTTTTCGGTGATTGGCACATTTCAAGGTTATTAAAAGCCTTAATTTTTTAGGTTTATTTCCAGCTGTTCATAGATTACTTTTTGGGTGATTGCCTTGGGCTCTGTGCACGATGTTTTTGAGGTTTATTTCCAGCTGTTCTTAGATTACTTTTTGGGTTGATTGGTACACTTTAAGGTTATAAGCCCAAGTCCGACTTGGGCTCTGTGTGCGCGATGTTACGTAATTGTTTTTGAGGTTTATATTTCCAGCTGTTTATAGATTATTTTTTGGGGTAATTGGTACAATTAATATAAGCCTTAATTGGCGTAGCTACAGGGGAAAAAGGTAAGCTTCCCTCCTAATGGGATGGTGTTTTAAAGTTTTAATTTTAGGAAATGTATGCTACTTTGTTTCACTATTATACCCTGCTTAGCTTTGATCATATGTAAAAAAAAAAAAAAAAAGGGATAGCATATATTATTATTGTATTACAAGTATTCATATTGATTGTTATTGGGTCTGCTATTTTTGTCTACAAATACATATTTTTGAATTACTCCAGAATGTTCGTCTGACAATTGAAAGTATCATTTAGTTAGTTCTAGCAGAAGTTTACAAGTATGTGAAAAATTACATGAAAAGAATGATCATGATTTCAATGCAAATTAAGGTTTTTACCATAACGAAAAGCTCTCGTTAAAACTATACCCCACCACTAAAACACAGGAACCAATGTAAATCAGCCGGGGTATCACGACCCCACTTTCGTTTCTCTCGTTAAAACTTAGACAGAGCCTTGCAGCTCTGCGTGACGAGAGATATGGCAGTTATGGCAGATATGGCATAGTGTAAACAAACTCTTACTGGGGCTCTGCCTGAAAGGAAATGAGAATTAGGAAACATATATTTTACTGTGTTTTAAGATATTTTTCATGTCCAAAAGTCACTTATAATTTAGATGAAGACCATAATAAAGTTTGAACGAAGCAAAATGACCCAGAATTGGTGATATAACAACAATTTTAATTGTGAAAATTAGCACTCTTTCTCCCTTCCTCTCTCCCTCTATCTATCTCTCTCTCCCTCTCTATCTCCCCGCCAAAGTCTTGGCAGGGGGATTACATTGTATAGCGCTAGTGTTTACTTTAGGGATAGCTCTGGGAGTAGTGACAGTCAAATGGGGGTTTCAATTTTAAACGACGAGTTTTCATCATGCGCTATACCCTGATGTAAAAGGAAATCCCATTTAAAAAAAGAATTTGTAAACCGTTGATAAATCATTATGTAATTATAAATATTTTTATCGCCTGCGTAGCAAGAAGCGTGACATATAGGCGCCGCTTTTGAATTTATTTTGAAAGTATGAGTTCTTATCCAATGAAACTTGGACCAAAGGTTTATCAAGTATTCCCAATCATGTGAGGAGAATTTCAGGTCACAGAGTCAAGGTCAAAGGTCATTTTCAGTCTGCAAAGTTAGACTTTGTTGATCAACATTAAGATTTTGAATTTTTGGCATAATTTCATAGTACATCCCTATTCCATGAAACTTGAACATAAGGGTTATCAAGGATCACCAATTATGTGATTAGCCTTTTAGGAGTCAAGGTCAAGGTCCAGTTTCATTTCAGGTCTGCAAACTTGGACTTTGTTGTGGCATCAACATCAAGATTTTTAGCATAATTTCAAAAGTGTTCGTTCAAATTCCATGAAACTTGTAACCCAAGGGTTATCAAGTATCACAAATCATATGACACCAATGCCAGGTCTTAAAGTCAAGGTCAAAGGTCAGTTGACTTGAATAATGTTTTTCACAACTTAACATGAGAATTAATAAATCATTTTTTGTTATTCATATTTTATAACAGTTATCAATCTTAGCACAAGTCGGGCACGTACGCAGGATATTTTCGAAGGGGGGGGGGGGTTCTAAAATTTGAACATCGCACCTAAAAAAAAAAAAATTTAATTGTCCCAAAATTTGGCCGGTCGATATTTCATTCCGTTGGGGGGGGGGGGAGGGTAAGGTCACCCTTTTTTGGTCACCCATTAGCACATTTTTTTTTAATTTTTTTATATTTATTTATTTTATAAAAAATTGAGGGAGGGAGGGGGTTTCCTCCAAAACACAAACAAAAATGGGGGGGGGGGATGGTTTGACCCCCCCCCCCCCCCTGCGTACACGTCTGGTACAAGTAATAGTAAATAATTCCCCTGATGATTCTTGGTTAATATTCACTTCATAATGCTGATTATTCAGAGGATTTCACATTTTGGGGCCTGCTAATGGGCCACCCTGCCTATAAATAATGTCCAAACCTCATTTTTTCATCATATCGAATTGCGTAATGCAGGCGAGACCGCCGAGAGCGTTTCCCTTGTTTCCATATCGAGAGTAATTTCAGCATTACCTGCTCTATGTTAAAGAAAAAGAAAATTTTCTTACTCTGGTTATTCATTCTTAGCCCATTGTCTTTTAGAGTGGAAGCACATTAAAGAAAACTTACGCAAAATAATTATTAATTCTATTCTAATTTTATGTAATTCTTCCATGGAAATCTCATTTATTTACAATTCTACAGTAAACTTTACTATGATGTATCATATTTAGTCTTTAGATATTTACTTAAATGTAAACGTTTGTTTCATATTAATTCAATACATACAGGAAATATTTGAATCTAAATCTGAATTTGAACTCCTTGTACGAGTACGTCCGTGCATTTGTATGGGGGGCATGTGTATATAACCTCCGGATTTGTTAAAGTTTTTTTGTTTTTATATAGAGTGAATAACATGTAAAATTGTCTTATAAATTATGTTTATGTACTTTAAGTTTACTATGCTGCTCAGTTATATATGCTGCAAAATGCAAATGAGTTTTAGTTTGAGTATGTTTATGTATAAGCAATTAAAGGGATAGTTGGGTGCAGAGGGCGCTACACAAAATAATTTTTTGTGAGATAATGAAAAACTGATTGTCAAATTTGAAAGAACATACAATTTAAATGACAAAATTATCTTTGTTTGATCAAAATAGGTTCAGAAACGGCTGAAATATCCATAAATATAGCGGTTTCTAATATTTGTGTACCACCACAAATATTCAAAATTTGAACCAGCCGTTGAAGAAAAAAATAGCGCCTTCTACGTTGTATTCCAGACAATGCCGATGTTGGCTTTTTGTTGGCTGTTTCGTGTTGGTTATATTACGCTCAACCAACCGGCCCATGTCCTAATTGTTATTATCATGTAATTAATTAATTAACAGTCACCATATTTTGGAAAGTGGAGCCGTAATTGGTATGATCGTATTGGCCAAATTTCACACATTTGGGGTCTAAAATTACCTTCATATCAAATTTAGGTCCTAAAAGGTCACTAGAAATGTCATAGATAGGAATAAGAGCAATAACCATGCACTTTGAAGGCATTTGCAGTCTGAAAACAGAACTCAACTATCCCTTTAATATTGAAAACGTTCTATTTTATTCAATGATATATTGTTTTTGTTTGTATTACATTTGGAGGGATAAAACAAAAATTACTAAAAAAATATTTTAAAGGGGCATATGTTCCCCGTATTCCAGAGGGCGTTCTAAATACGTACCCGCTGGCAGACGGTGCTA